TATTAGTTTTTATATTCAAGAGTTCATGTATACGTATTTATGTATATGCATACACCACCACCTATTTAAACATCTCTGTCGAGTCTTACGATAATATAAGCAGGTATAAATATCATATTATTAGATTTTCTGTTAGTAAGCCAAGTCTCACAAACACCAACAACAGTATATTTTTGTTAACGATCATAAATTGTAAAATGCAAATGAAACCCCTTTCATTTTTACAAATTGTTATTAATTACCTAAGATAAATTAAATTATTATAAAAAGACCTAAATAATGGTTTAAACAAAAATTGTATATTTATTATTGGTATAAAAAGAAGAAATAAAATATTAAATAGTTTAGCGAATAGTTCTTACCAAAATTTTAATCAATTCAAAAGTGAATAAATGTGTTATTTATGTTATTTGTCTTCTTGTTCTTTTTGAAGTAGGAAAAATTTCTGGCGATGAATGAGAAGAATCGTTATGGGTCTCGTTGTCTGTCTCTAATATCTCGATTTCGTCCTCATTAACCTTTTCTTCAACTTCTTTTACTTGTAAATCCTTTACTGTAAATAAGACACCACTAACAAACAAGGTATTACGTTTAATTTTTGTTTCCTTTCCCAATGCTATAGCTTCCTTCAAATATTTAGACAGGATTTTTTGATCTTGTTCATCTTAATAACCAAAGGTCGTGCTTGCAACCGAAAAACATACTATTCAGTGGTATATGGATGGTTCCAAAACCATGGAAGTAACTGGAATAGCAGTGTGTGGTCACTGAAAATTTGGAAAAATACCCAAGCATGTTCAAGGCAAACATTTACGCCCAGTTTAACATCGTGAGAAACTATCGCAGACAAGAGATCATGTATGATAGCCAAACAGCCATCAAAGCGCTGAGCTCTTATGTAATCAGCTCAAAAATGGACTGGAAATGCCTAGAAAAACTTAATGAGCTAGGCGAAGAAAATACAGTTACTCTCACTTGGGACAGATGGACTCACAAGAGAAGGGGCTTAAACACCCTTTGTGGGACCTGAACCGTTTTGTGGTATCAGCAATAAAACAATATTAGGAGAAATTAAAAAAGAATTGGGCAGTAGCAGAACCAATAAATAAAACGAACTCTTGAGGCCAAGACAGGGTAAGATACTTCTAGGTAAATAAAGTCACAAAAGATCGAAAGTATGTATCTGCCTGAGCAAGATCAGGCTACGCATTGTAACAGGGATCCTTAGCGAGCATTATCGACTCAAAGAACACTTTAGTAAACTAAGAGTAGTAGAAGATGGTAAGTGAAGATTCTGTGAGGAGGAAGACGAAACATTCGTTCACATTCTGACTGAATGTGTATGCCTAGGAGCATATATTATCAAATAGAAGACGAAGATTTACCTAACTTGAAACTACTCAAAATCCTATACCTATTAGCGACAGAAGGGGACACAATAGATATTTTCAGTCGTATTGTGTATTAACACCCTATTCTCAACAAAACAAAACATTGAAAAACCAGTAGAGATAGGTGTAACTTAAACATAGCAGAATATAGGTCAGATCAAAGGTTATAATTTAGTTAGTTTATGTATTATTAAAATTTTCCTTATTACGTACCTAATTTATACAGGGTGATTCATAACTATTGGGACATAATCTAAGGTCAGATTATTTGGAGCAAAATATGGCGATAGGGCCAAATATACCTTAATAAAATATTGTTGTGGAATAAGATACAGGGTGATAAATAATAATAATAGTAATAATAATAGACTATAATCAAACAGCAAAAATAATTCACTGTCCAGAAATTACATGTACCAAACACAAATATCTGACACTCCAAAGCACACTTTTCATATGTGAAATATTTTTTTAACTCCCCATTTGAGACTTGTGAGCTGCTCAATTGCGTTTTTCTCGAAAACGGGTAAAATTATCGTGTTTAAATAAGAGTACCAATATTACGTAGAAATGACGTTTACATCATATTTTCCAATCAAAAATACTAAAAAGTTTTGTCAAAAAAAGCTACCACTTAATTTCATCATTAGTAATCATTCAAGTGGCGCCCCCCGTAATAAAATAAGAAATTATACATAAAATATTATCTCCTGTCCAAAAATATGCCTCTGTGCCGATTTTGATAACAATTCATTAATATTATAAAAAAAAAACGAAAAAAAAAAATGAAAAAAAAAATTCAACTTTAACGCCCTGTATCTTATTCCACAGCAATAGTTTATTAAGGCCCTGTCATCATATTTTTGTACAAATAACCTGCCCTTAGCCATGTCCCAATAGTTATGAATCACCCTGTATATAGAAACTTATTGTTTGATGATATATCCCAGCAATATAGCAAAAGGCGAAAGTAGTCTACTTGGCCAAAGTGGGTAGGGTCACAAACCAAACGCCAAAGTCATATCGCCCCATAAGCCTATCCTCATTCCTACTTAAAACTCTAGAAAAATTAATAGATAGGTCTATTAGGGACGAAATACTAAAAATAAATCCGCTCCATCCCAACCTATATGCATACCTAGTACTGAGCGATCTAAACAAAACAGACTGCTTTCAAAAGTCAATAGATGACAAAGAAATCGAAATAGACAATTTCTTAGATATCGAAGGAGCTTTCAACAATGCCTCAACCAGGTCAATATCCAAGGCTCTAGAACAGAGAAACGTCCCAATTACAATATGCCAACGGATCACTGCCTGGCTAGAGAACAGGATCATTTTATCCACTGTAGGAAAGGCAACTATACTGGCAAAAGTTAAACGGGCTGCCCACAAGGAGGAATATTATCTCCAATGCTGTGGTCAGTTCTTGAGGAGGACGACTTAGTCAAAACATTGTCCAAATGAAGCTACCAGAGTCTAGGATATGCAGACGACCTAACAATTATCGTCAGGGTACGATTTGTAGGCACAGTCTCGGAGCGATCTCAAACAGCTCTATAAATAGTGAACAACAGTGCAAAAAGGAACAATTGTTCATTAACGCACAAAAAACAACAGTTGTACCATTCTCAAAACAACGGGTACTTACAGGTCTAAAACCACTTGTACTAAACAACACAGTTGTCCCATTCGTGACAGCAGCCAAATACCTCGGAGTCATATTTGAACAAAGGCTGACGTGGAATCAACATCTCAAAAAACTCACACACAAAGCTAAAATAGCTCTCGTAAGCTGTAGAAGAATATGTGAGAAAAACTGACGTCTAAACCCCAAAATGACCATATGGTTATACACAAGGGTGATAAGACCCATGCTAACGCAGTGGCGTGGGTAACCAAAACTGCGCAGGCAAGTGCAATAGGCCAACTCACTGGCATTCAGCGGCTCGTCTGTCTAAGTGCTACTGAGGCAATGCGCACTACGCCAACTGCAGCAATGGAGGTATTATTAAATCTCACGCCACTGCACATCTTCATACAAGGAGAAACCAGGTCAGCTATTCACAGGATAATGCAGGGACAAAACCCAATAAGCCAACTGCATAGCGCCGACCACACAAGGCTATATCAGTAAGTAAAATGGGATAATATCCTAGCTATGCCTACTGATAAAGCCATAACCACATACAAATTTAAAAGAAATTTTTAAATTCAAATAGCAGCCCAAGAATCCTGGAAACAGGAACCTTCCGTACAGGGTAAATTTATCTGGTACACAGACGGTTCAAAAACCAAGGAAGGAGCCGGTGCTGGAATCGAAGGAGCCGGTGCTGGAATCTATGGACCCAAGTTAAAAACAATGATTTCGCTGAGTTTAGGAAAATGTGCAACAGTGTCCCAGGCTGAACTAATAGCCATACAACACTGTGCATGGGAAATACTAAATCAGCAAGTATCAGGCAAAACTATTGCCATATACTCTGATATCCCCAAGCAGCTCTAAAGGTAATTCTTTCACCAGAAATCACCAAATTACGACTGGTGAAAGACTGTCTAGAAGACCTTGGATAGTTAAGTAGTCGAAATAAGGTGACCTTAGCCTGGGTGCCAGACCATGAGGGATATCAGCGCAACGAAAAGGCCAACGAATAAGCCCGAGAAGGCTCAGATAAGGCCATGACAGGCCCCGAACCCTTCAGTGGAGTTGCTAAGGCATTGTGCAAGCCATCCATCAAACAATGGATGCAAAAAGAGTTTTAGGAATGGTGAAACAACTATTTAAAACAGAAACAGGCCAAACAGTTCATCAAGGAACCATCGGCCAAGTTCACAAAAGACCTACTGGATCAAGAGCGTTAAGTCGTTAGGATAACAGTAGGTTTTCTTACCGGACACCGTTGCCTTAAAAGGCACATGAGTGTCATCAATTCAGCAAAAGAAGCAACTTTGTGCAGGTTCTGTGAAGAAGAAGAGAAAACATTATTCCACGTCCTGTGCCAATGTGAAGACCTGACTGGAATGAGGTTTCTAACACTGGGCGAAGAAAAGCCAAATGCATGCAATTACATGCGGAAGCCACTGTCAAAGCTACTAAATCTAATAATAAAAGACCAAGCTAGACGACATACTCTAAAACAAACGGAGTCTTACAACAGATCTGAAAAGGTCGCGGAGGACAAGGACAATTAACGTCCAACTCCCAATCTAATTTAATCTAGGACAAATTAAAGAAACTGACTGCATAGTTATTTTTGAAAGAAAATATCTAAAAATATGGAACGGTAGAAAAATAATTGAAAAAGAAAAATAATTAGACTGCATTTGTATTTTTTACTTTATAAAAGCTAAAAAAAAAAAAATAAAGATTTGCACGAATACACTTCTTTCGAGCTAAAAATTAAACACTATATTTTTTGGATAGTTAAACCATCTTATAGTTATAGATAGGCAACTTATATTACGTTTTCACATTATATTCAAAATTCAAGAAGATTGCGCAGTAAATATAGAAAAAAGTAACAGAGAAAACTCTTACATTCCCCAAAGCATATTTTACTTCTTTTATTTCCTGCTACTAAATAATCTTTCTTTTTGTTTTTGATACAGATAAAGTATTTCGAGAACCGAACGGATTCTTCATTGCTGGAGGACGTTTGCGAACAGGAAGCCATAAATTGCGTCGCAATCAATGGAACCGATAGAGTGTTGGTAGTCGACAAGGCCGAAGAAGTTAGAAAGATAATTATAGATCGTGAAAAAATGTTCCAGAAAATTTTCGGTTGGGGCGGAAGTTTTACGGACGCCGCCGGCGTTAACGTCAACTCCCTAAGCCGGAATTTGCAGAATAAGTTAATGAGGTAAAGTAACGATTGACGCGAATGATATTGAAAGAGTTGAAAGTTTGACTTACAAGTTAATTTTGTCAGTTTAACTGTAATATTATACAGTATTACCCAAAAGTATTTTCGCCTCTCATTTAATTTCAACGGGTATAACGTATGTCCCTAAAGTTTTCGGAAAAAATAAAACATTTATTTTTTGGTTGGGAAATAAATTTATTTAAAAATTAACAATGGGAAAGTATTTCTAGAACTCTAAACGTTATTTGATATTTTTATAGAACATACATGGGTCCATGTTCTTCGATAGCACGTAGTTTTGGCCTTACATGGGCCATAAGCCTTTCGATCGTTGCTAAATCGATCTCACGAATTTTTTGCTGTATTCTTCGTCTTAACTGCTCCTCATTTTGGGCTTCCCATCCATTATTATACTTTTCGACTAAAAGGGCCCAAAACTCTTCTGGTAAATTGTGGAAGTAGAAATATTTTGGGCGCTGAAAATTCTATCAATATCGCGCTTAGGTACTTGTCCAACTAAATGATAAATACTTTGACGAATATTAAGCTTATACGACATCTTGACAATTAGTCAAAACTGACATTTAGCAACATACTTTGAGTTGTTTACTAACTTTGTTTCCAATGGCAACTTGATCCTGGGCTGTCTGCGATAAATAAATAAAAATATATTTTTTCTGAAAACTTTAGGGACATACGTTATTAAGCCAAATTAAATTTGGAGGGTAAAAATAAACGGTTATATGCTTATCTGCTAAGAAATGGCGTCACGTGGCTACTGTGACCAATAACTTTTATCACTGACCTTTTCCCGCCTAACTTTTAAACAAACTATCTTCGGCAACCATCCCCTAAAATATTTCTCACTTATTTACAAACACTTTGTATACAGTAAACAATTAGTTCTAATGTTATAGAAACTTATCGGTTATGGATTCGAAAACTAGGATAATAAACTAAGCTATCGCGACATAAGTCACCGACAATCCGATAGCTCATTTGGTTACAATATTGTGCGTAGAACACGAGTAGGTGGATTCGAATCCGCGTTGACAGAATTTTTTAATATTTCCTAAAGGTAATTTTGGGATTTGTTTAGAGACTCCGAGGAATAAAATATGCTAGTATTGGGACCTATAACCGATAAGTTTCCGGAACATTAAAACCAATTGTTTACTATATATAATACCATACTACTACATCTGTAATTGTGAATGAATATAAATATTGCTGGTTTGTTGCACGTTGTAACTGTCAGTTATAAAAATGGGGCACAGAGTAAAAATAAAACTTTAATTTGTAAAAGCTACTAATATAAATATCAAGTAATAAACTAACGTCAATTCATATCTCTAGGAGACAGTAACAATAATAAATTTGATAACAAAGAATAATTCCAACACTCGCTCTTTGTTATCAGGTAAACTTCTTAAGTGTAGATTAGTCCTGTTCTGAATAAACTTCTGTCGATTTAAAGACTGATCTTCTGATCTTATATAGTTCACTACAATACTTCCAGCTTCTACCTGTTGTCTAATAAAATGGTACTTGACATCAATATGCTTTGTACGTTTATGCAATTCCGAATTTATTATCAAGCGAATTGCACTCTAATTATCTACAAAGAGTTCAGTTGGTCGATACTTTCTCCAAAAATCTCTGCAAGAAGTCTTCAAAGCCAAACAATTTCGGCTGTTCCTTCAGAGGCAGAGACATGCTCAGATTCAGTTGTAGATTAAGTAACACATTTTTGTGTTACAGGATTTCCTCCAAGAGCCGAAATATATCCTGTAGTTGAGACTCTAGTATCTATATCTCCTGCGAAGTCTGCATCAGAATATACTTTAAGTTTTATAGATTCTATACTCCCGCTGCTTGTATACACTATACCGTAGTTTGTAGTACCTTGACAGCTTCCCAGTGCAACTTTCCTGGATTTTGAAGGAACCTGCTCACTTGGTTAACAGCAAAGATTATGTCTGGACGAGAGACTACTGCGAGGTACATAAGGCAGCCAACAGCTTTCCTGTACGGAGTTTGACTCATTTGGAATTGTTCTTCAGTTGAAAGAGGCAGCAACAGGACACCAAGGACGAAGAAATACAAAGAGTTCAAATTTTAGGAATATAAACAATATAGTAATTATTGTTATTTTTTATTCTGTGCACGTATTTAGTTTGGTTGTACTGTGTTTTTAGTCATAATTTGTAATTATATTATGTAAAACAATTAAATTTTAATTAATTCCAGGTAATAAATTAGTCCATAGCTTTTTTCCAAATGTGACGATGACTGCTAGTTAATGCTTCTTGGTATGTTTGTGGTTGCTTGCAAATTAGGATGTTGAATTTCATATGACGAATAAAAAGTAGTTTGCTTGTTTTGTTTTTGTCTAATTTCGTTAAAAACAACGTCTCTTGCAATTTTTATGTGTTTAGTAATTGGATCAAATAAACGATAATTTGTACCATAGTTATGGTATCCAACAAACACTAATATTGATTTACAATCAAACTTTGACCTAAACTTCTTTGGTACATGATAGTAAGCCCCGGAGCCAAATATTTTCATATGATTTATTTTTAATTATTTACCTGTCCAGTCTTCAAACGGACTTCTGTGATTTTTATTGGTCAGTCTTCGATTTAATATATAAGTTAGGGTATTTACTGCTTCACCCCAAAGCAATTTAGGTAAATTAGTGGAATTCAGCGGCGTTCTAGCACAATCAACAATTGACTGAATGTTCCTTTCACTTTTACCATTTTGTTTTGGAGTGTAGGGTGCACTAACTTCATGAATAATACCTCCTTTCTTAAGCAGATCTTTAAAATGGTAATTTAAGGATTCGGTACCATTGTCTGTTTGAAGACTTTAATCTGATTACCAGTTTCATTTTTAACTGGATTTTTAAACTCCAGGAGTTTTAAAAATACATATGTTTTATGTTTGATGAAGTATACGAAATTATATGATGTGCACTCGTCCTTGAATAAAATAAAATAGTTAGCACCACCAAGGGATAGAACTGACATTTTTCCACACACATCTGAATGGATGTATTCTCCAGGTTTGAATAGTTAAGGGTGAACACCTTCTTTGAATGCCTTTCGTTTCTGCTTGCCAAACTGACAGGAATCACAGAAAAAGTTTCTGGAATAAGTAAGATTTAGATGTAGAATATGCCTTGCATCGACAATATCTAATCGTTCATGCTATAAATATAGTGAATCATAGGCAGCTAAATTTATTTGTTGAGTAGGAGACTTAAAATTAATATGAAAACATTGATTCGTTTGTTTCGTGCAAATTGCAACTAATTCATCTCTATTGAACACTTTTAATGCATTTTCTTCAAACAAAATTTTCAAATTTTTGGACGTTAGAGCTCTGACTGAGAATAGGTTCTTTCCAAGTTTTGGAATGTATAATGTATTTTCCAAAACACACATGATTATTGTCCGGTCAAGAATTAAGTTTAGGTGAACAGTTCCTATGGCTTCAGCATATACTAAAGAATTGTCCCCGATTTAAACTGGATATGATAATGGTTTCATATCAGTAAACCATTCTCGATAAAAGGTCGTGTGTTTCATTGCTGCACCTTCAGCAAGCCAAATATCTTCGTTTTTATGTAATTGCATGTTTTCTACCTCTGCACTGAACGCCTGAATATGTCCTTTCTGATGCTCTTCTTTTTCTTTCTTTATTTTAGCTTGAAGTTTTCTGCATTCGCACTTCTTGGGACAAAAGAAGTAAAATGGCACTTTCTTTGTTGTTTCTCAGGTTTTATTGTAGTATTTTTGTAGTTTAACTTATTTAATTTTACAATCTGGACGTTAGATTATTAAAATGTTGTTTACTTTCATTACACAATTCCCATGCAGTGACAGAAGGTCCATATTTTTGTGGTAAAGAACCAAGAATTTTTGCGATTTTATCAATCTCTTTAACTTCTTCTCCAACGTCTGGCTAATGCTTGACTCATTAATTCTATAGTAATGTTAGATATGGAGCAATTATCTGGTATTTGGTAGTTAAAGAATTTTTGAGGCTAACCTTATTTTTATAGATGATCGCTGCTCATGTATAATTTTTAATCTGGACTACATAGCTTAAGCTGTCTTGCAAGCCATAACAGTTTGTAATTGAACATATTCCATAGCAGTTGATATAATTAACATTGTTCTAATGAGCATTCAATTCTTCCCAATCTTTACAATTTTTTAGCAAACCTTCAGCTCGAAATGTTATTTCCATTTGATATTTCCACAAACCAAAATTTGAACCATCAAATTTTCAAATATTATAGCTTCTAATCTTGTCAATTTTCTTTAAACGAAAATATGGTCTACGATGACACTGACAAGCTAGGTAATAAAATTTGATACTTTTTGGTTTTTATTTGTATACGAAATGTGGAGAGAATGAAGGATATATATTGTTACGTAGCACCATGCAGTAGCCTGCGGCTGTTACAGAAAACGTACTGTAAAACGGGGTTACTTTGACATATTTTGAGAGGTTTTTGTGGCAAAACGCAAAAAAAGCTATAATGGACGCTCATTCTATCTCGTCGTACTATTTGAAATCTTGGCTTGAGAAATACACTAAAAGGGAAGGCCTAAATTATCAGGAAAATTTTATATATTTTTTTAAAGGTGTCAATCTAGCCCCTGAGGGGGGCTACTTTAACGTTTATATTATTTTAAAATCAATGATAGCCGTCTGGCGGGTTTCTTTGACACCATAAATTAAAAAAAAAATATTTTATACTTTTCTTAATAAAACAAAGGTTCAATTTAAAAAATAGGTTATTTATTTAATATTATAGGTAATCCCATATAAATAAACTTATTAAAAAACAAGAAACCAACAAAAAATAAACATTCTTTCCTATGTTTGCATAAGAATTAAAAAACAACAAAAAAACATAGGAACTATTAAGAAACACATTAACAAAAATGTTTAAGTAGAATAGTCGTCTTTGCACCGCTCACATTCATAGGATATATTTTTCGAGCCTTTATTGCAAATGCCACATACCCACACTTGCAACAAGTGACGCAGCGAATCCATGGCCTTTAAAGTTGGTAATGACGAAATTCAACCTTACAAATAGTGCATAAATTACCATCATCTTCGTTTGTAGAGGTATCAGTAGTGCGCAAACTACAATCTTCATTTGTCACCCTCTGTTTTAAGACATTCAAAGGCACATCGTCCTCATCTGTGGAGCTGTCGAAGCGTCTGGGCTTGCGTTTTATTCTTTTACTTGATGGTTTTCTTGTTAACCCAGGGTCTTCGAGGGTCTTCTGGTTTTGTCCAGAACATCCAGCTTCAGCGATAGCTGGCTGATTTTTTTCTTTCACCATGTCAAATGTTGGAAGTAGAGCCTCACTAATATATTTGTCTGGCACAGTGTCCTCTACTCGGATGCTCTCATTGTTGTTTACTAGTTAAGCCCTGCTTTAACAACAAACTCCTTTCCTCTCTTGTGTCGAATTCTGTCTTTATTGAAACCTTTTGTCTCTTGCAGAAATTCAAGGAAACTGCTGTCAAGGATCCGTGTTGATTCTTCTTCATTTTCCTTTGGAAGCTTTTTCAGAACAGCCTGGGAATCGAACGGATAAAGTCCCGTGGCTCTAAAAGCGCCTTGTAGATTTTTTGATATTGGGAGCAATGGCATCCATCAACTTTTTTAATAACACTGAAAAATGCTCTTTCGGTATAGACCCTTTTTTCTGGATTCTTGCCTCCATTTGTCAAGAACTTTACGCCATTGTTTTTTCAAAGGTCCGTACACTCCAACATCAAGAGGTTAGAGCAAGTGAGTTAAAGATGGTACAAGAGTTGTAAAATAAATTTTGTTATCCACCGCACTTCTGACAACTTCGGGAGAAAAATGTGGTGCCAAATTATCTCCGATGATGAAAACTTTTTCGTCTACTATTCTGAGATTTTTAACGTGCGGTAGAGGTTTTCTGAAAAACCAGACCCCAAACAAATCCATGTCGAACCATCCAGAGAGGCTGTTTCTGTAGAGTGTTCCTGACGGTCCGCCCTTGGTCCAATTTTCATAGAGATTTTTGGACTTATATACCACTATAGGAGCAAAAAGTTTACCTTTAGCAGTGCCACAGAACATCAAGCTGACTGAAGACTTAGAAAGCTCTTGAATTCTTTCCACACGCTTGTGACCTCGTGTACAAGGACTTTTTTGGCACCAGGATCGTCCGAAATATTGGTTTCGTCATAATTATAAATCAAATCTAGACGAGTCCCTTCTAATGCAGGTCTTATATTCTCAAAATATTCTGTAATTTCGCCGCGATCCACTGATGCCCGTTGTGGTTTAATGTTTGTAGCTAGTGTGTTGCAAAGATTATTTCTCTTTGCAAAGGCGTCCACAAAGTTAGGACCTGGCATATTACCATTCCACTGAGCAACATTTCTACCCTGCTTTGATACAAATTTACGCATGACCTCTCGAATATCAGCCTTCGTCAATGGATGCCCCCAATCGGCTACGATGTCCAGTGTTTCTGCAATTAGTCTCTCTTCTTCGGGTGTCAAAACTGTAGGGTTTTCCTTCATGTCAACGATGGATTCTGTTGAGGAGGGTAGTTCTATTTACCTTATATTGCAAAGCAGCGGCTTTTTGACTAAGTTGCTTATTTTGAACTGCTGCAACAGCTTTGGCGAGGTCTTCTTCCCTGTAGTTTTTATAAGGTCGAGCACCAACCTTTCTCTTGTAGACTTTAATCATTGCAATTTGTTTACGTTTAATCTAAAACAAAATAAAGTGCATACTATAATTTTTTTTACACAAAAAACCATCACATGCAAGATCCAAGCATAAAATAAAATACTATTTATAGCCATAGAAAAATTATGTCTACTTAATTACACTATTAAACTACAGTAGAAACAACAATGTTGATAGACTTACCCAAGTGGTGCCCAGCGCAATCTTAAAAACACAGAAAAATTAACAAACGCTCTAAAGGTACTTTACGGTGAACGCCAGATGGTACACTGAAGACCGTTGTGGCTAAAACCTGTTGGTGCGCGCTTGATCCCCTCCGCGTGCTCGAATGACAATTCTAGAAAACCGTTGAAGTCAAAGTAGCCCCTAAAGGTGTCAAAGTAACACGTAAAGTCAAAGTAACCCCGGTTTACTGTACTAATAGAAAAAGAAGCGGACTGCTACTCATCGCTACTCATACAGTGTGACGACCGCATCATAAGTCAAAGTACAAGTAAAATAAGATAGAATAGTCTAGAAATGTCATTACCCGTCAAGAATATTCTAGACGACAGTTCGAGAACTGTCAAGCAAGCTATATAAGGATGATGCTGACGTCAGTTTTCAGTTTTATGATAGCCGTTACATGTAAAATTGTTGTTAAAGTTGTAGTTGAAATAAATTGCGATACCAAAAACCTATGTAACAATATATATTTTTGATTTAACTCTGCCTGATCTGGGCCCATAACCTGTCAGTTATAAAAATGGGACACAGAGTAAAAATAAAACTTTATTTGTGTAAAAGCTACAGAATGACTAATATAAATATCAAGTAACAAACTAACGTCAACTAGGAGACAGTAACAATAATAAATTTGATAAAAAAGAATAATTTCAAAAGAAACATTCACTAGGTCATATAGGCTGGCATCGATGGTTTTGTTTCTTTGCTTTCTCTAGTGCTGGCTCTATAGTTTTCACACGCACTTGTACCAAGGGATATTAGAAGGTATTCGTGAGCCGATACCGTAGATAGCTAGATAAAGACGAGAAATGATTTCCAAGCGTATCGGCTTTAAACATTCTCAAATAATTTTCTTGTTGATAACAGGTCTTATTTCTCTGAAGATGGTCTTGAATATAATTTAGGCAGAGTACCGATTGGTGCAAGTGACTTTTCTCTTCGACCATACACGTACGAGGACACCGAAGATGATGATCCTAATTGCGAAGATCCTGAACTAACAAAATTTAAATTAGCTGAGGAAGATTACAAATATAAGGTCAGAAAACCTCTATTAATACAATAAGTGGCCTTGTCACAAATCATACAATGCATTTTTTTTAGTTACCCATCATTCAAGAAGCTCAGAAACTATCATCCAATCACTTAAGATTAATAGCTTCTCCTTGGTCAGCTCCAAAATGGATGAAAGAATCTAAACGATACTATGGAACGGTTGGATATTTGAAAAAACGCTTTTATCAATCGTGGGCGAATTATTTTATCAAATTTTTAGAGGCATATAAAAGAGAAAATGTTACTATTTGGGGCCTTACTCCAGGCAATGAACCGTTTCTTGCTATGGGTCAGTTTTCTGTTCCTGGAATGGTATATACGGTGGAACAAATGGTAATTACTTGGATATTTTATTTTATTTAGATAGTAGCTTAATTATTACCAAAAAAGAACATCAAACGCGTAGCTAGGTTGTTTTATTGGGGGCGTAACACTTCTCACATTATTGTTGAATGCGAAGCGTGTTATTTTAAAATATGGTAACAATGCAACGTCTAGAATTCATATATGTATTTCCAGAAAAAATGGTGAGTTTATTAATGAAGTTTTTAATTTTTTATTTATTTATACAGGGTGTTTCAGAATAAAGTACCGTAATTATGGGGATTTGTAGATCTTAACCTATAAGCGTCCCAGTTTTCATTATACAGGGTGATAAATTGAATTTCATAAATACATATGTATATGTTAGTTAATCGTTATTAGTTTACACATTCTATTTCGATAAATTACCCTAACTCATTGACGTAGAATCAAGGGCTTAGGAAACAATTTTATTCAAAACTTTTTGAACACCCTATATTTCATAAAACTTAAGATTAATAATTATTTCTCACGCCATTTGTCACAAAAAGGGACTTCTGGTTGATATTTGCAAACCATTACATTTCCGAGGTGATAGAACTGATTTATTTTGTACAGAGTGTTTTGAAACATGTCTTAAATATGGCTAATTTTAAGTTCAATTTACTTAAATTTGACCAATGCAACACACTGTATATTATTTTGGCATAAAATTCCCTATAAATTTATCTATCAAACGATACCAACATGTTCCAATAGTTATTTATTGTTTCGGCCTTTACTTGATGAAAATCCATTTAATTTTGAAAGAGTAAAACCAAATTTGGTAGATTTTCACACTTTTATTTTAAAAATAAAAATTTTGTGTTTGTTTGGAAATTTTTATTTTTAAAATAAAAGTGTGAAAATCTACCAAATTTGGTTTTACTCTTTCAAAATGTTCCAATAGTGCGTAATTGATCGATAGCTAGGAAAAACAAATTAATATAAAAGTTGTATGACCATTAGACTGGGCCAAAAAAATTGACTGTTTTTGTTTTTAAAAAATATATCGATAATGTCATTCAGGATGACAAAAAAAAAAATTGTGAAAATTTGAGCCGTTAATATTAATTTTAAGAGGCCTATCATCGCTATTTTTGATTTTTAGTCATAATTTGATGTTTTACCTTAGAACTGTCAATACATTAAAGTATAAAAAATTCATTTTCACTTATTTTTATATAAAATTAAATTCTCTACAAAAAAATTCAGATTTTGCTTCGATTTTAATCGCTAATAACTTTTGAAGAATTAAATTTAGGCAAAAAATTTAACAAACCTTTTTTTGTAGAACATTAATTTCCTTTAAGAATCCGACGAGGGCTTTTTTAAATATTCATTGATTCATTAATTACAAAATTTCAAAGTAAAAAGGACAAATCGAAAAAACTCATCGATCTATTAAGCTCAATTACGCGGAAACGGCTCGTCTGACGAAAGTTTTCAATCATACCTTTTTTGTAGAGAATTTAATTTTATATAAAAATAAGGAAAAAGGAATTTTTTTCACTTTAATTTTTTGACAGTTCTAACGTAAAACATCAAATTATGACTAAAAATAAAAAATAGTGATGATAGACCTCTTAAAATTAATATTAAGGGCTTAAATTTCCACGAAATTTTTTTTGTCATCCTGAATGACATTCTCGATATATTTTTCAAAAAAAATAGTCGATTTTTTTGGCCCAGTCTAATGACCCTGTTTAATAAATATTCTTAAATATACAGGGTGTTTCATAAATGAGGGGCTGATCAAACTTATCATTTTTTTATATTTAATGGTTTTCACATCGTCAAACAAATGTAATAGACTTCATCTATTTGCTATGTTGTACATAGGGTGTTTCAAAAGAGGGGTAACGTTTTTCTCTTTTTTTTTTTTAATAAAATACCCAATATGTCATACCGACAATTAATTAATACAGGGTATTCCATTTAAAAAATTGAGAAAATTGTAACCTCATATTTTGACACACCCTACATACAATATAGCAAATGTCAAAAGTCAATTAAAATTGTTTGACGATGTAAAAACAATCAAATATGTATTACTACCTGTAGGGTGTTTTGCTTTAAAAAAGTATCGATTTGATTAGCACCTCGTTTATGGACAACCCTGTATATTCAAGAATATTTGTTAAATATGGTCATACAACTTTTGTATTAAACATTTCTTCGTATTTCTAATATTAAAATAGCTATCGATCAATTACGCACTAATGGAACACCCTATAAATGTGTTATTGACTAACACATTGGTATTGTTGTATAGGCAAATTTATAAGGAATTTTATGCCAAGATAATATAGTGTGTTGCTTTGAAAAAATTGAGCATATTGAACTTAAAATTAGTCATATTTAAGACATGTTTCAAAACACTTTGTATAAAATAAACCAGTTCTATCACATCTATTCGTTAGCTTAGTATTTTATAAGTCTGTATATTAAACAATTTTGAAATCAATGTAAACCTACTTATATTATGACAATTTAATTTGGGATATGCATCATACTATAATTAAAAAAAAAAATAATTCTTTCGCAAAACTGTAATATTTTTTTAAAAACATTCTATGGTCAAATACAATATTCCCAAGCCATTCTAAAAATAAAGTATACATACATACATAAATATACATTTTTATTTGTCAGCCAAAAACGCAATATCTTAGGAAAGATAGGAAATCGGATGTGTCCAACACATGACTTTCCTATCTAGTTATTTTAGGGCCTTTTCCGGTTATCTTGTACCGATCTTCAACAATACCCGAAACCCACGTGATCAAATCGTCATGACAGCGATTGGTGAAAATAATAGTAAAAATCCCTAGATGTGGGCCAGTGATGTAGGTGTTTAAAATAAAATAAAAATAAAAAATATCTTCTTCTTTTTTTTATGGTCTGTAACCTTAAGAACAAAATACAGTGAGATATAACAAAAAAAATCTTATTATTAATTAATGGTGCTTTACATTATTATATTTTTATGTTAGAATTCCATTTAGGCCAATATAAAATTTTATCTTTAAAATTTTTGATGTAATTACTATTGAATTCAATGCCTCTCCTATTAAAAGGGAAGAATTATTTAATGCCTAACCTAACCCTTCTTTTCATGTTTTCGAACACATTAACTATAGCTTGCTAATTCATTCACATCATGCAAATGATTTCTGAATACTTTATTTTTTATATGATCAAATAAAAAGTAGTCTGGAGGTGTGAGGTCTGGAGATCTTGGAGGCCATAATCCTTTATTAATAATTCGGTCATCAAAATATTCTTCTATTAGGTCGATAGTAGCTCTAGCTGTATAAGCTGGTGTCCCATCTTGTTGAAAATAACCCAATTGTAACTCGTCATCCTGTAGCTGTTCAACAAATTCAAGAAAAATATTTCGATAACGTTGGCCATTAATTGTGTCATAGAAAAATATGGGCCCTATTATTCTTTTTCTAGAAATTGCTACCCAAATACCAACTTTTAGGGGATGTAGACTTGTCTCCACAAATGAATGAGGATTTTCAGTTGCCCATGTTCGATAATTTTGACTATTGACATATCCTGTTAAGTGAAACCATGCTAAATCAGTAAAAAAGTTCGATCCAATAAGTTATTGTCATTTAATTGCTCATTGAACCATCGACAGTATTCCATACGTTTAACAAAATCACCAGGAAACAATTGTTGCAGTACTGTAACCTTATAAGGATGCATTGATGGATTTTTTTTTTAGAATCTTATGGCTAGTTCTTACAGATAAATCTAAAACGATGAAATTAGATTATAAGAGAGTCAAGCTCCCAAACACTGTTCTTACCTGCTTGAGCTGCTATTTTTTTCACCGATTTAGTGGGACTTTGCTCCATGCGAATTCGTATATCTTTAACAACTTCTTCGGTTATTACTGTGGGCCTTCCCGATCCCTTTCCTTTACAAATGCAATTTTTAGTTTCAAAATGTTGAACAAGAATATGTCTATGATGACGAAAACTATCATATTCTATTTATACAACTGGAAAACGATCCTCAAATTGTTGAATGTAACTCTGAATTGAATATGACCAATTTCTATCTTAATTTCGAGATCCACTTCTAAAATGTGCCATTAAAATAAAAGAATCCTGTTCCGGTGTAAACATTTTGAGCTGAACATTATATTGTCAATAAACTTGTATAGAAGTAAATAAATTTACACTTACCGACAGAAAAGAATGAAAGCACTAATGAGCTCTAAAAAGAACTGATTGGTTTATTATTATTTGAGGAAAAATTGAATAAAAACGTGTTGACAAAATGCAAAAAATCAATAACCTTTAAATAATATAAATATACCCAAGAATCCAAATGAACACTATTAATATTTTTGGCAGTATTGACAACGACAGTTGACATATAAGGAACCAAATCAGGCCCTTTCGCTGTGTTTTTGATGCTACCAGATCATGTGGGTTTCGGGTATTGTTGAAGACCTGGTACAACCTTTTGTAATACCTCTGTATATGCTTAGAGGATAAACTAAACTAAAATTTTGTATGGAACAAAAATTGGACAGACCTTAGAAATCTTCTAATATAAAGGTATTATTTTAAACTTTAAAAAAATTAATTAACTTTGGAATAGCGGCACAATCTCTCAAGATGAACGCTAGTATACGATCGGAACCTGCCGTCATTATTGATTGAATATTTAATTATATTTTGAATTATAGAAATAAGGAAATGAACGCATTAGAAGAGTCTCTTAACTGAAGCGAGTGGGATACGTATTGCATACTTAACTTTTTCTACGATTACTTATTTAAACCGATACAATTTTTTTACCAAAGTAACTAATGTATGAAGTTATATTCATCAAATTTTTATTTTCTTAATTTTTTTTCTTATAGAGAGACTTTATACATTATCATTTGGGACCGACTCTGAGGAATTCTGAATTTTCTAATGTTATGTTAATGGCCATAGACGATTTGAGACCCATTCTAGCACATTCATATGATAAGGTAATTTTTTTCTAAATCAGTTTAAAGTTAACACGATATACAAGTGCCAAAATTTATATTTTGAGATAATACAGAAAAAAATAATAAAACAACATAATACAACATTTATTCTTTATTTGTTCTTAATTCTGCCTAATAACACGGAAAATCAATTTAGAACAAAAAATCAGTTAAGTATATAAAAACATATCGAAAAAATAATGAATAAGAAAGAGTCTTATTTACTGTGGTGTTGCTTCCAGCATTATTTTGGGCCACTTCTTTCACTTCTAGTAGGTCATTAAAAAAATTTTTGTGCAATGGATTTGTTAAGGTAGAATTTGGGAACGAGAGACCGATGCAAGAGACAATCAGCAAACATTGTCATGTTAAAAGTGCTGTCGCGTCTTTTGCGTCGGTCGCGCTGTCCCAAATGTGCTCCATTTTTTTAATTACATGTGATTCAAACGTGAAAGACACATTTCGATCGCCTTACGCGGTCGTTTACATTTGTCTCCTATCTCGGTCTCGCGTTCCCAAATGGTTCCTTTAGATAAGGTATTGTTACGCAGGTTTTTGGTATATCAATTTATTTAAACTCAACTTTAACAATGATTATACAACTGATAACATTAACATATAACGTCTATCATCAAACTCCAAACTGATGTCAGGATCATCCTTATATAGCTTGCTTGACCCTTCTCGAACCTTTTTGAACTGTCTTCTAGAATATTATTGACGGGTGATGCAATTTCGAGATATTTCCGGATTATTCTATCTTTTTTTACTTGTAATTTTCTTACGACGACCGCAGCACACTGTAGGGTGATGAGTAACATTCCACTTCTTTTTCTATCTGTACTTTTCCTACAATACCAGCAGGCTACTGCAGGGTGCTGCGTAACATTGCTCTCTCCTATCTAGTTATTTGCCCCGAAAAACTTGATTACTGGGACCTAGTTGGAGCTAATGGGGAGGATTTGGACCATAATATGAAGCTATCTCCCCAATGTGAACTACGTTGAATTTACTTCCCACTGACAGTTGAATGTGGCAGATCAGGTCGTTGATTTTCCTTAAGGATGGAGTAGGGGCTTTCTCAGTTACGTTGCGATTTCTGACGAAGTCGTCCTCGCTGCTTGGGATTGCATAGCCATACCTTGTCGCCCCTCTCAAAATGTGTATCTGTGGCACGCCTGTCGATTCCAGCTTCTGCTTTATCGGTGTGGGCTTTCAGTCATTCCCGAGCGAATCCATAGACCTTTGTCCTGCCATTGCATATATCACATTTTTTACATCAATCCGCTACATCCCGTAGGCAATTGACCCAATAAAATCTTTCCCGAACTCGTGCAAGTGTCCTTTTAATACCAAAGTGTCCTCCTGAACGGCTGCTATAAAGCTCCTCCAACACACTTTTGACCTGTGATTTCGGCAGTATCACTTGGCGGACTAAATGTACTCCATCGGGGCTCTCCCACTTCCGGTGCAATAGGCCATCGTGAAGATACATGTTCCCTTAGGGTACTGGACTCAGTGGGATTCCCCCACTGAGTCCAGTACCCTTTAATGGTTCCACTATATTTGGCTTCTGCCATGTAGGTCTGACTCCATTTTTAAGCCATTTTCGGACAACCTTCAAGTCATTGTCTTTCTTTCGTGGCTTTCTTAGGCTTTCAAGGGTGATTCCGTCTTCGTCATCCTCTGGCTTGATAGTGGTCGCCTGAAGACTAACTTCTTCAACCAGCTCCTCTCAATCTTCAAGCCTTTTACAATCGTTCTAAACACGGTCGCCTGGAAAAAATGTCTGCGTTGCTATGGAGACGTCCTTTTCGATGCACTACTTTCTGGTCATTGTTAGAAAGCCGGCTCGGTGTGGGTGATTGGCTTCTTCGGGACGGATAGCTGCTGTAATTAATTCTTGTTAGTCTTGGTGATGGGCTTGGAAAGATTGATCTTTATGATTTTCCGGTCTCATTCGTTGATTCTCGATTTACAGGAGGAGCCACGCTTCTACAGGTTCTTTGAAGATGCCCGATTGTTCCGCAATTGAAGCATCTCCTGCTTCCATTTTGGCTGTTTCGTTGCATATTTCGTAGGATATTTATGATTTGGGGAATAGCATTAGTATTGGCCTCCTCACTTTCCTGGGATTTAATTTCCCTTACTTTTGCGCGAGAAGATCTGGATAGGAGTTTTACCGCTTCATATTTCTGGGCTGCAATCAGTTTCTCCATCAGCGTCTTGTGATGTTGTAGACGTAGGACTTGCTTCATTTCCGCATCTTGTAATCCATCAATTAATACCTCTATTCCGATTTGTTCTTGGAAATCTTTGGATGCCTGTAGATAGGCTAGATGAATCAATCTTTTTATGTCGGCCCTGAATTCCTGTAGACCCTCATTATGTTTCTGACTACGAATTTTTAGCTGGCTTTGAAATACCCGTTTCAAATGCTGCTGGCCATATGTCCCCAAAGCTTGGACGAGAGATGAATAACTGGGTTCCTCTTGAGAAAGTAACTGTAAAATGGTTGTTGCCTGACCTCGCAGCAAGGTTGCCAATCGTACGGTAATTACCGTACTTGTACGGTAATTTCGATTAATGTACGGTATACGGTCCAAAGTCATTACCGTACATAAAAGTACGATATTTACATAAAAAGTACGGTAAACGTACGGTATACGTACGGTATATGTACGGTATACGTATGGTATACGTACGGTATTTTCAACAGAATTAGCAAAGACTTTGAGTTGTGCAAGGACCGACTCCGTTAAATTACTTAATGAAGATTAAAATGACATTGTTCAATGTAAAAATTTTATTTTATTCTTTTTACAGCACATGTTTTTTAAAAGGACCTGGTCTGCACAAAAATATAAGCTGAGGCCTTTTTTTAGAAGCTAGGTAGAAGGAATTAAAGCAATATGATGATTACCTTTTTTTTTGTTTTTAGAAACCCGACAAAAATATTTACACAATATAGTTTTTTGGTACAAAATAAAAGTGTACGGTACTGGGAGGCCATGTACGGTAATTTGATTTGCGCGGTACGCTAAATGGAATTTGAAAAGTTTGGCAACCCTGCCTCGCAGTGACACTATCAATGAAGTAGTTATCTCTTTCTCGGTCGGTCCAGCCATTGGCTCCAGCTGCAGCTTTAAATTGGAGTCGATATATTTCCCATGTTGTCTGACCGTCAAACGTGGGTGGCTTAATGATCTTGCTAGTACGGATTTGTGAAACAGGGTTTTGAATATGGCTTGGTTCGATTACAGATGAGGACGAGGTAGTATTTTCAGTTTCTCTGTTGCTTATCGAAGCTAGGCTACCAATTCTTCTTTCTAACTTAACTAGTTCAGTTCTAATTTGCCTTTCGAACTCTACTCTAGCCTCTTCCTGTTATTTCAAATTAGTTTTTAAATGCTCTTGTTGTTGCTCTAAAAGATCTACTCTAATTTTAAGCTGACCAATCTCTTGCTTAAAAGTTTCCTGGATTTGTACCAAGCCATTTATAATCTCCACCTCTGCTTTTCTATGTCTCTCCTCCTTCTCCTCTTCTCACCTTTCCCTCTTCTCTTCTTCTTCCTTCCTACGCCTTTCCTTTTCCTTCTCTCGCCTTACTCTCTCCTCCTCTTCTTCCTCCCTACGCCTTTCCTTTTTCTCTTCTTGCCTTACTCTCTCCTCTTCCATCTTCAAAAACCATGCTGAAGTATCCATGCCTGCTTCGTACTCAGTGGATCTAGTATTTACCATGAACTTCTACTTTGTATCCCATCGCTGTCATCAATGTTACGCAGGTTTTTGGTATCTCAATTTATTTAAACTCAACTTTAACAATGATTATACAACTGATAATTTTAACATATAACGTCTATCATAAAACTCCAAACTGACGTCAGGATCATCCTTATATAGCTTACTTGACCTTTCTCGAACCTTTTCGAACTGTCGTCTAGAATATATTTGACGGGTAATGACATTTCGAGACATTTCTGGATTATTCTATCTTCTTTTACTTGTACTTTTACTTATGTTTTCTATCTGTATTTTTCCTATAATAGCCGCAGGCTACTGCAGGGTGCTGCGTAACAGTATCATAGAAATTTAGCTTTTTTTGTTTTAGAAATTTTGTTTTCTGGCGAAAGCACATGTAGTTCGGCTTTTCTTAAATAATTCAGAATTTTTTCCTTTTTTTAAGCATTGACCTCGTTCAGTTGAATAAAATCTGCAAAGGTTGTCCTTGTTTTCACAATCTTCTGTTCGTCACTTAAACGTCCACTACTATTACCTTTACGAGTTTTTAGATTAAGGCACATGGTGAATAACACTTGTTACCTTTCTAAGGAAATAGGTGAAGCACTTAACGGTTGCTCCATCCTGGAATGTTTATACAAAACGTATTTTGAAGATTGGTAACTATCCCTTTTGTCAGGACATAAACAGTGGCACATAGCACCGTTCTATAAGTCTACCTTAAAATTAAAAATGTTTGCACTTACCCCCTTTGTTACTTTCACTCTTCAATTTTCGTTAACTTTCAGATTTTCGCGGAAAAAGAAGTTTTGAAATATATTGATGGAATTTCTTTGCACTGGTATTATGGAAACGAAGAAAATGCCCATATATTAGAAGATTTTCATAATAAATATCCCGATAAATTAATTTTATACACTGAAGCTTGCAATGGTAAACTCATATTTCTAAATACGTTTTTTATATCTACAAGTACTGCTACTAAAAATTCGTAAAACTTTTTTGGTTTTCAGGTTACATTGCAAACAACATTCTATTGGGTTCTTGGGAACGAGGAGAAGACTATGCCGCAGACATTATACAGGTAACATTTCCCAGTTATGATAATACGTATTTTTTTAAACTATTGAATAGCTTTTATCGCGGGCTTTGAGCGCGCCGACCGAATCAAGAAATTCCGTAAACAAAATAAACCTAACACCCCCCACTCCGACCGGCACAGCGGTGCGGCGTTGAAAGCCGTGGAAGGTTTTATCCGACCCTATTCGTATTAGTATGAAGCGGAGTTAAATATACGTCTGCGGACTGAAACGTTTATTCAATACAAAAACTAGAAGAGCTTTCTCTAGCTTCTAATAAATTAGTATCACAAATGTTCCCGGCTAGATATCAATTTTTTTTGCAAGATTTATAAAATATTAAAAAAAAATCGAAAAATCGAAAAATCGAAAAATCGAAAAATCGAAAAATCGAAAAATCAAAAAATCGAAAAATCGAAAAATCGAAAAATCGAAAAATCGAAAAATCGAAAAATCGAAAAATCGAAAAATCGAAAAATCGAAAAATCGAAAAATCGAAAAATCGAAAAATTGAAAAATCGAAAAATCGAAAAATCGAAAAATCGAAAAATCGAAAAATCGATAAATCGAAAAATCGAAAAATCGAAAAATCGAAAAATCGAAAAATCGAAAAATCGAAAAATCGAAAAATCGAAAAATCGAAAAATCGAAAAATCGAAAAATCGAAAAATCGAAAAATCGAAAAATCGAAAAATCGAAAAATCGTAAAATCGAATAATCGAAAAATCGAAAAATCGAAAAATCGAAAAATCGAAAAATCGAAAAATCGAAAAATCGAAAAATCGAAAAATCGAAAAATCGAAAAATCGAAAAATCGAAAAATCGAAAAATCGAAAAATCGAAAAATCGAAAAATCGAAAAATCGAAATATCGAAATATCGAAAAATCGAAAAATCGAAAAATCGAAAAATCGAAAAATCGAATAATCGAAAAATCGAAAAATCGAAAAATCGAAAAATCGAAAAATCGAAAAATCGAAAAATCGAAAAATCGAAAAATCGAAAAATCGAAAAATCGAAAAATCGAAAAATCGAAAAATCGAAAAATCGAAAAATCGAAAAATCGAAAAATCGAAAAATCGAAAAATCGAAAAATCGAAAAATCGAAAAATCGAAAAATCGAAAAATCGTAAAATCGAATAATCGAAAAATCGAAAAATCGAAAAATCGAAAAATCGAAAAATCGAAAAATCGAAAAATCGAAAAATCGAAAAATCGAAAAATCGAAAAATCGAAAAATCGAAAAATCGAAAAATCGAAAAATCGAAAAATCGAAATATCGAAAAATCGAAAAATCGAAAAATCGAATAATCGAAAAATCGAAAAATCGAAAAATCGAAAAATCGAAAAATCGAAAAATCGAAAAATCGAAAAATCGAAAAATCGAAAAATCGAAAAATCGAAAAAATAAAAAAATCGAAGAATCAAAAAATCAAAAAATAAAAAAATCGAAAAATCGAAAAATCGTAAAATCGTAAAATCGTAAAATCGTAAAATCGTAAAATCGTAAAATCGTAAAATCGTAAAATCGTAAAATCGTAAAATCGAAAAATCGAAAAATCGAAAAATCGAAAAATAAAAAAATCGAAAAATCAAAAAATCGAAAAATAAAAAAATTGAAAAATCGTAAAATCGTAAAATCGTAAAATCGTAAAATCGTAAAATCGTAAAATCGTAAAATCGTAAAATCGTAAAATCGTAAAATCGTAAAATCGTAAAATCGTAAAATCGTAAAATCGTAAAATCGTAAAATCGTAAAATCGTAAAATCGTAAAATCGTAAAATCGTAAAATCGTAAAATCGTAAAATCGTAAAATCATAAAATCGTAAAATCGTAAAATTGTAAAATCGTAAAATCGTAAAATCGTAAAATCGTAAAATCGAAAAATTAAAAAATCGAAAAATCGAAAAATTGAAAAATCGAAAAATCGAAAAATCGAAAAATCGAAAAATCGAATAATCGAAAAATCGAAAAATCGAAAAATCGAAAAATCGAAAAATCAAAAAATCAAAAAATCGAAAAATTGAAAAATCGAAAAATCGTAAAATCGTACAATCAAAAAATCGAAAAATCAAAAAATCAAAAAATCGAAAAATAAAAAAATTGAAAAATCGTAAAATGGTAAAATCGTAAAATCGTAAAATCGAAAAATCGAAAAATCGAAAAATCGAAAAATCGAAAAATCGAAAAATCAAAAAATCAAAAAATCAAAAAATCAAAAAATCGAAAAATAAAAAAATTGAAAAATCGTAAAATCGTAAAATCGTAAAATCGTAAAATCGTAAAATCGTAAAATCGTAAAATCGTAAAATCGTAAAATCGTAAAATCGTAAAATCGTAAAATCGTAAAATCGTAAAATCGAAAAATCGAAAAATCGAAAAATAAAAAAATCGAAAAATCAAAAAATCGAAAAATAAAAAAATTGAAAAATCGTAAAATCGTAAAATCGTAAAATCATAAAATCGTAAAATCGTAAAATTGTAAAATCGTAAAATCGTAAAATCGAAAAATTAAAAAATCGAAAAATCGAAAAATTGAAAAATCGAAAAATCGAAAAATCGAAAAATCGAAAAATCGAAAAATCGATAAATCGAATAATCGAAAAATCGAAAAATTGAAAAATCGAAAAATCAAAAAATCGAAAAATCGAAAAATCAAAAAATCGAAATCGAAAGAAAAAACTTGATAATATCAAAGAAAGAAAAAATACTGCATAAATAAAATAAATAAATAAATATAATTGCATAAGTTGACAAAAAATGCTATGCAATAGCTTTACCACGGCAGTCGCCGAGTGCCACACGTATTTTTTTATTTTTTAGAATACAAAAGGCCTAGATTTTAGACATTCTGTGATTGGCATTTTTTATGTATATCCTCAAATATATTTAGCTCAAGACAAATTTCCTCTAGTATAAAAATGTGTTAAATATCATGGTATATGACATAAAAATGTAAATACACAAAAGGGAGAAATAAAATAATGTTGTGAAAAATTTTACAAACTTTAATATAATAAATATTAGCTTCTTTAAAATTAATTATGATGCCTTGGTAGGATTCTCCACTCGACCAATTACTGTTGGGTTCCAAATAAAAGTGCTGTTCTTAAAGTGGTACTGGGTAACAGTGACAATGCCTATACAGAACACGAGGCGAGATAACCTTAGCAGTTTAAGCCGATGACACACAAAAAAACTCTAGGTAATTTAGTTATTTAGTTGCCTCCCCGCGTATATATCAAAGTATCAAATAAAGGTTAAAAATATTATTCGTTAGGGTAGCTATAATCTAAATAAAATAAAATTAAATAAAATAAAACAGTAATAATAAAGGCATCATGGTAATAAAAAAAAGCAAATGGTCAATTCTTTCGGTTTTCCAACTAAATCCAGCAAAATGTTAAAATATAAGTTGAAAGGAACATTACCTGACAATTATCTTAACGTTAACACACAATAAACACATAAAAGACAAGATAATTATGGAAAACTTCTCATATCAGCTAATATATCGGCAAATACTACCACGTTTAACTCGATAAACCAAAAGACCGGGTGAATCGACACGACTCGGTTTTATTACGGCGTGGTTGCCCGAAGAAATACTAGGTTAGGTGCGCAAACCGTACTTACTCTCGAGAAAAAAGCGAGCGGTTGTCGTTAGCTTGTGTTACGAGGGGTTATGGAGAAGTTGTTGTTAAAAATAAATTTGAAATTAATTTAAAATTAATTTTACGTAACACTACCCTTAGCTCTCTCTTCCACAACCTTGGATTAACAGTTACCTCTTTAAATAGGACTAGTTATGCGATACCTACTCATTGTTAAACAGTTTTTAATAATAAAGAATGTTAACAGGTTATTAGTTTGAATACATATTGTACCACAGGTTTCATTTAAAGTAGTTTGTGCAACAAGAGTGGATATTATGGCCATATCGCACGAAGACGAGTGCGATGTGAACATTCCACTCGAGTTGTTAGTACATTTTTCTACGAACCACGAACGAAAATTTACAAATAAAAATAATATTTTAGGTTATTAAGACAAAATAATTTATGACTTTTAATAATTTTTGAAATAAAATAGGCGAAAAAAAAGGAAAAAGTTCATTTAATTTTTCCCCATCCGAGAATCAAACTCGAGTCTTCAGTGTGGAAGGCAAGAACGTTAACCAAAGGACCACCTATTATTTTATTTTTGCGTAATTAAATTGAATTCATATAGTTTTATTTAAATTAACAAATTATTTATAATTATAGACGAAATAAAAACAGAAATGCTATTATTTATCGATTCTACACAAGAATAGCTTATTTTAATGTATGTTTAATATCAATAACTAAAAAATATACTGACAATTAGTTTGACAGAATTGTCACTTATTTAAAATTTTAAAAATAATAGCAGTCGGTTGATCAAAATATGAACGATGATTGGTGGATTTCATTTTTTTGCAGGGTTCTCACTACCTAGAATGGATATGAAATATATTCGTTCAGTTGAAGGCAAAAGCATACTTTTTCATTTTGTAGTCTGTGCGTAGATTAGCTAATATCCATGTGGGTGTAGAAAAAATAATTAAAAGCCTAGCTTCTACTTTAAAATATATACTACCAAATATTTATTTCTTAGGATATGAATCATTGGGTTATCGGCTGGATAGACTGGAACCTAGCGTTAGATCTTAAAGGAGGACCAAACGTTTTCAAAAACTATGTTGACGCTTCCATAATTGTCAATGCTGATAAAGATGAATTTTATAAACAACCCATGTACTACGCTATCGGCCATTTCGCCAAATTCGTTCCAAGAGATTCATTGAGGATATATTCGACCCAATGTGGAACTGATGTATCACAGGTTGCGTTCATAAAGCCCGATGGTGGAATAGTGATTGTTATATTAAATAAGTAAGTGGAATTGACAAACTTTTAACTAAGGTATACCGGGGAAAGTGGAACCTATATTTTTTTTAATCTGGAATGTCCGCTCAATATCTTCGGAAAATGATCGGCGGGCACATCCAAATTTTAGGGGATATTTTTGTAAAGATGTTTGCTGTGTGTACATACATTTTACCTAAATTCTGAAATTCACTAAAAATCTTCGTAAGCTCAAATAAAAAAAATGTCATTAGGTTCCACTTGCTTCTTTGCTTGGGGCAAGTGTAAATGTGTGCAAGAAATACTTTCGAGTAGGCTGAAATAAGTGTGGGGCATGTAGAAATAAATTTAAATTCATCCTAATTTATTGAAAAAAATTACATTTCACAAAGATTTTGTCTAACAAATGTTATATGTAGTAAAAGATATGTCAAATTGAAACTTTCCCCGTTTGTCGAACGTCGGTGTGGGTTTTCTTGGACAAAACTTCACTATTAGCCAATCCCCGATTTCAACTTGCTTCGTATCTTTCGTAATCGCAGCCATAAAATCATTTTCTTCCTCAACTTCTCTTACTTTGTCTTCTATATTGTAATCGATTAAACTATCGTCGCTTAGTTCTGCGGCCTCTGCTTCACCATTTAGTTCTTCTTCTGGTTCATCAATAGGTTGTGTATTTTCTCGTATCATCTCAACTTCTTTGCTCTTCGGTTTTTTAATTTTTAATTGTTTTGTCTGCTGTTTGTCATTTATTTCTTTTAATTTTGCAACTGCTTCTGAAGATGTTATAACCTCAGCCCCTGAACATATATTTTTCCATTCTGTCTGAACTCTAGGAGCTTGCTTTAGCTGTTGTGAAAGTAATGACTCGAATTATATTTTTTCTGGATTTAAAATATTTTGCAGAGGTACAACATCCAGAGCGGCTGATCCGGGTGCCACTGGGGCATCCACTATGTCATTCTCTGCAGTACCTAGAAATGACAAGTTATTTTGTTTAAAGAGAGACCATCTTCTAAAGGCATCTGGTTCAAATTTTTCTTTTGGTACAACGTCATTGTTAAAAGGGTAGATTCCCGCTTTTGCAACTCCATTTTTTATAATGGTTGACTCAAGATTGTTCCACACTTTTAATAAAATTGTGGCAAATGTACGCTTTGGGAGTTTAACGCCGTAAATTTTTCTTTGTCACTTGATGAGCTCTTCGTCCCACATTTAATTAGGTAGTTTAAATACACTCAAGTCCATAGGCTGTAGAATGTAGCTAGAATGTGGCGGTAATTTTAATATGACCACACCGTTTGCTTTTGCTGCCTCTATAAGTGAAAAGCCAACATGGAAACTGTGGCCATAGTAAATAAGTAGTACAGGACGTTCTGAGCCAATATGTTTCAGAAAAATGTTAGTTAAATACTGCTGGAACGTGGCTGACTCCATCCATCCGTTCGCAGTTGCTGCATAGGTCATTCCCGGAAATTCATCTTCTTGTGCAGGTATCCAAGAATCCTAGAGATTTTCACCATTAAAAACAATCGGTAATTTTTCTCCAGCAGCATTTGCACCCATCAGAACAGTTATATTTTCTCTTCCAGGGCCACTAGTTGCCCGATGAACAGCTGTGCCCTTTTCACCCACTACTTTCATCCTAGAAGGATCGAGGCAGAATCTGGTCTCATCAACATTATAGATTTGAGCGGAGGGAATATTTCCAGCTCCTTTTCTAGAAGTTCAAAGTAATCTGCTTCGCTTTCGTGCCACTTCAACACTTTGGGGCTTTTTTGACTTAGATTAAATTCTTTTTTAAACCTTATAAAATAATCATTTCCAGGAATTCCATTTTTGAAGGGTGTCTTTAAATTGTTTTCTTTTACATAAGCTCCAATTATCTCAAGGACTTTCCTTTTCGATAAACCAAAGCCCCATTTTTCTAAAGGTACTAAAGAGTTAGCAATGTTTTGCTCAATTTCATGGGGAAGGGCTGGTGATCTACCCAATGTACGACTTTTTAAACCTCTCTGTCCCTTCACGCGTTTAAATAGAGTAGCTTTAGGAACTTTATAAACTTTTGCAGCCCTATACAATCCTAAAGTTCCCGATCTTACGGAATCTATTGCATTTTTCAAATCTTCTTCTGTATAGGATGGTGGTAAGGTCTTGCGCTTATAGTTTCCGACCGTGATGGGTTAACATCTACAAGTAAGAGTTGCAGTTTTATGGCCAAATAATGAAATAATAATGAAAAGGGGCAAGTGGAACCCATTCTAGGTTTCAATTACCCCGAAGCGTATTTTTTGCGGGGCAAATTTAATCCAAACAAACTTTTCCGGTTCTGACTATTATTTATTTTGTAGCGATAGTAAACAGTGCAATAGGACATCACTTACCCAGATAAACTAACAGCACTTTTGAACAACTCAAAATATAAATAATATTGCACGGCGGGTATAAACTCGATGTTACAGATTAAAATTGCACGGGAGCTTGTCGGCAGCCACTAACCAAAGTCGAGTGTCGAACTGTACTGCACTATATCGCGACGGTTGAAGAGGGTGGAGCATGTCGATTTCAATAGGTGGCGCTCAAATAAATAGATCAGAACAGATTTTGTAGAGGTGGGTTTCACTTGCCCCGAAATTCTACTTGCCCCGGTGTACCTTATCACAAGTCTGTAATGTTAACATCTATTATAAAAATAAGTCTAAAATTTGCTACAAATTTTGATTTAAACATTTTTTCAGACGCTTAACCGTTTTTGAGATAGAGGGTGCAGAGCTGTATATTTCTTACAATTTAAATTAAAATGAAGTGAACATTTGCAAATCTCCAATAATTTAAAGAACAAAAGTATCTTTTTCTGTTTCATTGTCATCATCTTCGGTATCTTGAATCGTTGTTTCTAGTCCTTCTAGAATTTCCGGATCACATACATTCTCTTCCTCGAGGTAATTTTTCAATAAAACAACAGTGAGGCAAACTTGCCAATTATACTGGCCACAAGCTAAAGTGCATTTCAAGCACGATTTTCTGCCCTGCAACATGGACCACATTAATAATTCTTACAATTACAAAATAAAGTCTTCATTTTGCAGTATTCAACCCCATTTGTGGGGTTCTAAATCATGCCCTAACCATTTTTGAACCTGGCAATAGATATGGTTAATATGCTGATGGGCTTTTGCACTTGTGTGTGAAAGATTAGATAAATGGACAAATTTATAAAGCTTTGTAGATTTAACGAACTGAGTATAACAAAGATGATCCAGATTGTCCTCAGATTTAAAAGCATTGTATATCGCTAGTAAAATGCGCACTCCATTTTAATATAATTGCTGTACAGGGCAGTTTTCTTGTAGAAGAACTCGAGCCAGTTGGTCAAAATTGATAAGTTTTTGTAGTAATTTGATGAAAGTTTTTCCCTTTTTAATACAGCAACAAGTTGTATCACAGCCACTGAATGCACGTAAAAATAGAATATTTTTTTTTTTTAGAAAGAGGATATTTGTCAAAATTTTTGAAGAATGGATTTGTGTTTTGACATTGCGTTCAATTAAAATAACGAGCAAATATATGTCTTCTCTTATGATGACTACAGTCCTCTCTTGTTTGGATTATTTAATAGTTGTTTCTATGATAAGAACATCAGCATCATCTCTCGCTTCTATTGTTGTGATAAGAAACTTCATAAGATTTCGAAAGAGCAGCATTTCGTCTAAGTTGTACCATTTCTTTTATATTTTTAGTGTAGCCCGAGTATCCGTCAAATACAATAACAGGTTTTAACCCATAATGTCTTTGTAAATTACGTATTTATTTAAAACAACTCCATACGACGCGATGCAGTTAAAATCCACTATCGATGATAAACGATACATTATTTTCATTAGGTAAGATATATTTTAATCAACTTTATACAGAGTAATATTCATCGATTTTTACAGTTGACCTTGTATTATATTATGTATTGCTAAGCGCTGTGCGTTCTCCGCCCTCTGTCTCAAAAACAAATAAGCACCAGAAAAAATCGTATGCTTTTCCATTTTTATAATAGATGTTAACATCATTGGAGCTATAGAATCCTAGATAGTCGCAAAAAAGATTTTTATAACCTTTGACTTTTAATAATTTAGAACGCAGACATGAGATTTTATGAGACTCTTGATACAAATGTAATTTTTTGCTCCGATTTCTTTTAATTAATAAATAAAGCAACCAGGTTTCGAGATAACAACGAACCCTCTATTCCAGATCTTATCATCAAAAATGATGAACAACTTATAACAGAACCTCAACATCTTCCCCCAATAGGTATTTTCGACCACTCAGTAATAATAGCCGAGATTCAAGTTCATATTGAATGTGTAAACAGTAAGACGTGCGATTTATACAGGGTGATCAACTACAACGATGTCAAAATGAACTTAGAAGCTATCAACTTTGATGATATTTTACAAGAGTTTAACAATGCAAATGATATGTGGAACACTTTTCCATGCACCATTAATGAAATAATTAATAAACATTCTTTTACCAAGAAGTACCGCAGAAATTCGTTAAAAACCCTGGATAAATAGTGTTGTCATATCCTTAATTCATCATAAACGGCGACTTTTGAGAAAGTACGACATTTCTAAAAATATACAGAACTCCCGTTCTCATAGAAATTTCTCTAATTTCTTAAAACTATCCATTTGCTCAGCGAGAAGAGACTATAAAGGAAACATTGTTAACTCAGAAAATCACAAAAAGTTGTACAAATATGTGCGTTCAAATTTATGTTCCAAAGTAAGTGTACCTTTTTTGCGTTACCCAGATGGTACTTTATGTTCTACAGATTTTGATACTGCGGAAAAACACTTTTACTTCTGTATTCACAAATTAACCTACCACTACCGCACTACCACATATAATAACCACGAGGATACATAATAGTCTGATTGAAGTGCAATTTAATCCCGAAAAGGTTAAAAATAAATTACTTAAGTTGAAGAAACACTCTTCTCCTGGTATTGATCGATTAAGTTCTTTCTTTTTAAAAAAGTATGCAAACACATTGTTCGGCCCGCTTTCCACAATCATGACCATGTCTTTTTAAACATCTACTCTACCCGACTTATGGAAAATTGCGTCAGTCACAGCTATATTTAAGAAGGGTGACAAAAGGGATGCTTCAAATTACAGACCTATAAGCCTTCTGTCTATCCCATCAAAAATCATGGAATGCATCTTAGTTGATGTCATAACTAACTTTTTCAAAGAGCATAACGTAATACCAAAGGAACAACACGGTTTTGTTTAAGGTAAATCTACCACAACAAATCTTTTATGCTGTATTAACGATTGGTCTCGCTCACTCGAATGCAAACCACCAACTGATGTAATTTATCTCGATTTTGTAAAGGCTTTTGATAGGGTCTCTTTCGTCAGACTGCAGCACAAACTCGGATCATTTGGTATTCGAGGAAAATTATTGTCATGGATTCACAATTATCTAGGAAATAGCAGCTTTCAAATCAAAGTTGGTCAGTCCTACTCATCAGATAGATTAGTGACAAGTAGTGTCCCCCAAGGCTTGATACTGGGTCCGCTTCTTTTTATAATTTATTCAAGTGATCTACCTTACCACATTCAGTCTCAAAGAGCATTTTATGCAGATGACACAAAATTTTACGGAAACCTCTTAGTAGGCTACGATAATATTATTACTCAGCACCCTGCAGTAGCCTGCAACGCAACAGCCAAAATGAAAGCAGGAGATGCTTCAATTGCGGAAGAATCGGACACCTTCAAAGAACCTGTAGAAGTATAGCTCATTCTATAAATTGAGAATCAGCGAATGAGACCGGAAAATCATATAAATCAATCTTTCCAAGTCCATCACTAAGACCAATAAGAATTAATTACAGCAGCTATGCGTCCCGAAGAAGTCAATCACCCACACCGAGTCGGCTTTCTAACAATAACCAGCATCGAGAAGGTCTCCATAGCAACGCAGACATTCTCTTCGGGCAACCCCGTTTAGAGGATCAATGCTGGTATGGTAAAAGGCTCGAAGAACGAGAAGATCGAGAAAAACTGGTTGATAAAGTTACTCTTCGGGCCATCACTATCAATCCAGAGGGCGACGAAGAAGAAATCACCCTTGAAAGTCTGAGACAGGGACAGAAGGAAGACAATGACTTAAAGGTTGGCCGAGAAATCACCCTTGAAAGTCTGAGACAGGGACAGAAGGAAGACAATGACTTAAAGATTGTCCGAGAATGGCTCAAAAAGTCACACCTACTTGGCAAGAGATAGCCAAATACAGTAAAACTGTAAAAGGCTACTGGACCCAGTGGGATTCCCTATATCTTCACGATGGCCTATTGCACCGGAAGTGGGACAGCCCCGATGGAGTATATGTAGTCCGCCAAGTGATACTGCCGAGGTCACAGGTGAGAAAAGTGTTGGAGGAGCTTCATAACAGCCGTTAAGGAGGACACTTTGATACTAAAAGGAGACTGGCACGAGTTCGGGAAAGATTTTATTGGGTCAATTGCCGACGGGATGTAGCGGATTGGTGTGAAAAATGTGATGTATGCAGTGGCAGGACAAAGGTCTATGGATTCGCACGGGAACGACTGAAAACCCACACCGATAAAGCAGAAGCTAGAATGGACACAGATGCACATTTTGAGAGGGGCGACAAGGTATGGCTGTGCAATCCCAAGCAACGAGGAGGACTTCGTCAGAAATCGCAACGGAACTGGAAAGGCCCCTAAGCCGTCTTTTAGGAAAATCAACAATCTGATCTGCCGCATTCAACTGTCAGCGGAAAGTAAATTCAACTTAGTTCACATTGGGAAAATAGCTCCATACCATGGTCCAGATCCTTCCCATTTGTTCCATCTAGGTCCCAGTATTCAAGTTATTCGGGGCAAATAACTAGAGAGGAGGGAGCAATGTTACGCAGCACCCTGCAGTAGGCTGCGGCTATCATAGGAAATGTATAGATAGAAAAAGAAGTGGAATGTTACTTGTGCTGCGGTCGTTATAAGTAAAAGTGCAAGTAAAAGCAGATATAATATTCCAGTAATGTCTGGAAATGTCATTACCCGTCAATAATATTCTAGACGACAGTTCGCGAAGGTTCAAGAAGGGTCAAGCAAGCTATATAAGGATGATCCTGACGTCAATTTTTACTTTTATGATAGAGGTTACATGTTAATATTATCAGTTGCATTGTTATTGTTAAAGTTGAGTTGAAATAAATTGTGATACCAAAAACCTGCGTAACAATATTTAAGCTGACTTAAAGTCAATAAGTGATTGGTGCTCGTACTGGCTTCTCTCGTTAAATATACACAAGTGCGTGGTGTTACATATCGTCTTCGTCTTCGTTACTCGCTTGGTAACCATAATTTGGCGCCAGTGTCTTCGTATGTAGATTTAAGTGTTTTAGTGACGTTAGAACTAACATGGTCTGAACATATTCTAAAAGCATGTAAACGTGCAAATTCGATGTTATATTTGCTTCGAAAGAATTTTGCAAAGGTGTTCTTTCATACATCTATCAAATTATTTAAGACTTATGTTTGACCTTTATTAGAATATGCAGGTATAGTTTGGTGTCCGCTTCTAGTGCGAGACCAGAACCTTTTAGAAAATGTTCAACGGCAGGCTACCAGAATGACTTTTGGAGCAGTTCGACCATCATGCACAGAAAGATTACAATTGACAAATTTACCAACTTTTGCAAATCGTCGACTACGAGGGGACCTGATTCTAACTTTTAGAATACTTAAATATAATTAAGAAAATCATAGTAACATTTTTTTGTTAAATACTGATTCTCGTCTACGTGGTCATGAACTAAAATTAAAAAGGAAAACCTAAAAACGAAGGACAGACAATCATTCCTTTCCAACCGGGTATTTAATGTATGGAACGACCTAAGCGACGAAGTTGTTGGTGCCATAACAGTTAACATCTTTAAAAATAAGTTAGACGAGTGTTTTTTTAACATGTTCATTTAACTTTACGATGTCTTAATGATAGCCAAAGCTTTAGACGACAAACTTCCAATAGATGTGATATATTAAAGACTTTTCTAAAGCATTTGATCGGGTACCATATAGGAGAAAATTACACAATTGGAGAAATGTTGGTTCCGAGGGTCTTTACCTAAGTGTATTAGTCTATTTCTGTGTGGCAGAAAATTTTTGTAAAAAAATGGCTAAATCGTCCTGTACTAAGAAGCCTGCTTTTTGTGGCTTATGCACAAGTGACTTACAAATATCACTTCAAGAGCAATGTGGCTTTCTATTCTGACACCAAAATCTACTCAGATCCTACTTTGCTCGTGTTATCTCCAGCACGACCTTAACTCTGCTGCTAGAGTTAAATATAGAAAACTGATAGAGTAGTTATGCATATTGGTAAGAACAGCAAATTATCAGAAGATTGCCTTTCAGTTGCTCATCAAACTCTAAGATATATTATGAAATATTGTGGAACTGTTTGGAATCTAGATCTTGTCAGATAAAAAAACACTATTAGTTTGGAATGAATTAATTCAGTTTAATTGGTTTAATTTAGTTAGTAACTTAATTATAATTGTTTTTTCTAAATCAAAGGCGTCATAACTAAGAAATCGTTTTCTCTGTGGCGTGAAAATCTTTTCAATAAAACTGTTTACAAACCTAACCCTTGTTTTAATTTAAAGTTCGTATCTTTATAAATATTTTGTTTCGCTTTTCATAGCGAGTTTCACTTTTTAAACATGTTTTTATTTTTTACAGAACAGACAAAATTAAAAAACGATACATACTGGATTCGAAACGGGGAAAAATTGAATTAGAACTAAGTCCACGTTCAATTTCAACGATTTTGTATTGGTAGAATTTGTATAATTTTACGATTTAAAATATTTGTACACATTTTGTTAATAAATTTATTGTTTTTATTTGTTTTTTATTATTAGAAATATGATATTTCAAAAATACTGCTTTAGGAATTTATGGAAATAATTGAACCCAAATGAAGTAAGTTAATTTTAATTGTATTAATTTAATTCCACCATCAACCAATTTTCTCCCTAACCTCTCATTTATTACGAAATTTTCAAAACAAATAAATAATACTGCAATGTTATGATAACAGTACGAATTTCCGTAATTAATTTTATCTATTTTGAAGTTATTTTTAATCAGTTTTCAATGTTGTTTCGGATTAACCCTGACTATTGACTATTTAAAGTAAAATTTAGTAACGCACATATTAATAAAGTTCTTTAAAAAGTGATCATCTGTTATTTTGATAATTTGGAAAAAAGTGTTTATGCTATTTGAAAATAAAAATATGGGACCTATTGTTATTTTGGTGTTAATAAGTAAGTAATACCTTATTTTAAAATCTTAATATGTGTTTCGTTACATACAAAAATAAGAGGATTTATTACATTAAAAAAAAATTTTTAGGCAACAAACTGAAAAAACATTAGGTACCGTTTGTGCATAAATACATTATACATACAAAATGTCAAATTCTAGAGCTTCTATTTATTAGAACAGCTTTCAGTTTGGTGACATTTCGAGTTACAAAGCTTTTTTTCTTTACGACTTGTCAGATTGAAAGCCCCCTTTACAGCCGCATCGACTATAGCCTTGGCACCCAGTCTTGGATGACATTTTTGAACATTCCCTTAGTGAAATTTCTGACGGTGGAATTTCTGCGGCATTAATAAATTTTTCATTACATATTGTAAATTGGTTCCTAGCATAAAGTTGATTTAGGATTCCATGTTTCGTGCCTAATTTATAAAGAATATCATCTGTTATTTCGAGGACAATTGCCAAAATATTTCTTCCATCGGTGCGACCTCTGTCGACATCTGGGACTCGAACTCTAACTGTGTCACCCTTTTTAGCGGCAGGATATTTTGAATTAGAAGTTTGAAGCATTTTTTCAGCATGTTTTTTAGATTGCTTGCTGAAATCTCCCTAATTTTTATTATATCGACTTTTCTTTTTTTCACATTGAGATCTTCTGAGACATCTTCTTAACCATCATACGCGCCTTTCTCATGACCGGGAACTTGAATTTCAGATGCCCCTGAGACATTTATTTCTCTTTTGTTATTACTGAAATCAGAGCTTGGTTCAGATAACGAAGTTGATGGTTGAACATAACTATCAAGAGAAGATATTTCCCCCTCGTATTGTTGACTTGGACCTACTTCCGCTAAATAATTTGACCCTGGTTTATTTTGCAGTGCACCTTCTTCTGCAGACTCTAAATTGTTTTAATCTTTTACTATTGCTTCCAAGTCCTCTTCAGAATTTATATTAGGCAGAACGTCCTTAGGCAAAAGAACTTTTTAGACCAACTTTTAACTTTGTTCCAAACATTGCCTCATACGGAGTACAGTTTATGCCACTATGATGAGCTCTGTTTTTTATAAGTTGAACAAAACGTAAGCCTTCTGACCATTTCTTGCTATTATTGTCTTCTAGCTACAAACAAAGCATATTTTTCACGTCCTGATTCGCACGTTCGACGGAGCCCTGACTTTGAGAGTGTTTGGGCTTCCTATGTACCATCTTTAATTCGGGCCACATGGTACATAGTTCTTTAATAGTACTATTCGCAAATTCTCTGCCATTATCACTCTACAAAATAGTGGGCGCACCAAAAATGGTGAAAATATCCAAAAGCACATAAGCTACTTCTTCTGCTCTTTTGCTTTTAAGAGGTCGAAGTTGAAGAAATTTAGTTAAATGATCTTGGTATACAAGTATGAATTTATATTGATCATCAGCTTGCGACTGCATGTCGATTAAATCGACTTGACATCTTGAGTTCATGTTTTTACTTAGTATCGGCCTAACAACTAAACCTTTTCTTGGTACACTGTGTTTTTTTCGCAGGTCATACATAAATTTAGATAGATTACAATCATTTCCCTCGTGATGTTTTAATACTTTAAATTGATCTTTTTCTCTAACACTTCAATTCAGTCTTCGGTAATTATTGCGAAGACGCCCTTTTCTTAAAAATACATATTTTTTACAAAACTTACATTTTATTCCTATGAAGGAGAGTATTTTTCAAATATACTACAGGAAATCGCAAAAATTAACGTTTTTTTTTTAATTTGACATATTAAAGGCTTATGATGATAATTAAGTGATCATTTGTGTAAACTTATTCATTAGAATTTTATATCTGTCTTGCTCTGTCAATACAAATTAGTGCGGCGTTGCCAAGTGTCCAACTAAAATTAATGAAAAATAAACATTTCCATACTTTTTAAAAATCTGATGTGTCCAATACATGACTTTCCTATATAGTTATTATAGGCTTTTTCTGGTTATTTTGTTTAACCTATTGCAGGACTTCTATAAATGTTTAGAGGATAAACTAAATATATACATTTTCCACGTACGTCTAACTCGAAACATTTTTCTATAATATACAGGGGTGTCTGTAAAAGGTCTTTACAAAAACATACCACATATTCCTTAGACCAAAATAAATCGATTTAAGTAAAATTACCTTTGTACAAAGTTGCTTCGTTTGGGCTCCAGAGGGCCTTGAATTTACAATTTTTAAATCGTTTTTCCCATATAAATTTAAAACGGCATATGCGATTTTGCTGAAATTTGGTATATTGGTAGAGTTTTATGTGGAAAAAAAAATGGTATTAAAATTTTGTCCGATAATAATACATAGGCGTAGAACTTGATTTTTTAAATAAGTGCACCTTTAAAAATTCTACGCCAATGGAAGAAAAGGAGTTTCAGTATAAAATTTAGATTGCGCAACTCATTTACTTTAAAAAAGGTACTCTTGATAGACTCGATTACTCTCATGGTTTTGACGAAGTTTGCATTTTAGTAATTTTAGAACATAAACAATAATTATTAAAATACAAACTTTGTCAAAACCATGTGAGTAAATCGAGTGTTATCAAGGGTACTTTTTTGTAGTAAATGAGTACCCAATCCAAATTTCATAGTCAAACCCCTTTTCTATCATTGGCGTAGAATTTTTAAAGGTGCATTTATTTAAAAAATCAAGTTCTACGCCTATGTATTATTATCGGACAAAATTTTATACGATGAAAAACATAAAAATGTACTTTTTTCATATCTTCTTCAACACTTCTAATCGAGACTTTTAACAAAAATACTCGATTCTTGCCATGTACGATTTTTTGAGGAATATTAATTATTTGCCTGCAATATGTATACAAAAACATTTATTGTTGGTTTCCATAGTTTCATCTAAATAAAAATATTGTCAAGTATTAACACCTAATCTCTTGTTAACGAGTGAAAGTGTTCTATCTGACTCAATAATTAAAAACAAATGCGTGGTTTATTAATATCGCTGTACAATATACCAATGCAGAATATACCGATATGTTACTGACATTAGGATTTTGTGAAGGAAATGCTCGGGAGAGTGTCAGGGTGTACTCTGAAAGGTTTCCAAATCGTCGTGTACCTAGCCACTCAACTTTTGCTGCTGTTGAGAGACGTCTTCGGGAGACCGGTTCCTTTGCTCCCAACACTATTGATAATGGAAGAGCACGTTTTGTAAGGATTCCTGAAGTTGAAGAAGACATTTTAGAACGTGTTGAAAAATATCCAGAATTAAGCACCAGACGAATTGGAAGGGAACTAGGAGTAAGTAAAGATGTCGTTCATAAAGTGCTTAGAGAACAATTGCTATATCCATACCATAAGAAGCCAGTACAAGAATTATTAGTCCATGTTCCTTAAATTCGTTTGGGTTTTTGTCGATTTGTTAATATGCAAAGAGAAAGAGATCCAAACTTTGTCAAGAAGGTTCTCTTTACCGATGAAGCGGGTTTTACAAGAAGAGGTATAACTCTTACCCATAATGAACATGTTTATGTCGTTGAAAATCCGCATGCAATAAAGGTAAACTATTTTCAGCACGAATTCAAAATTAATGTGTGGGTTGGAATAATTGGTAATTTCATTGTTGGTCCTGTCATACTTCCACGAAAATTAACTGGAGAAAATTATTTGAATTTTCTACAAAATACGTTGCCAGAATTGTTAGAAGATTTACCTCTCCAACTTCGGAGAGATATGTGGTTTATGCAAGATGGAGCTCCACCACATTTTTCTTTAAACATTAGGAACCACTTGAATGAACAATATCCACACAAATGGATAGACAGAGGTAATGACGCACCTGTAAACTGGCCACCACGTTCCCCAGACCTAACACCGATGGATTACTTTTTATGGGGACATCTGAAATCCAGAGTTTACAGGGAACTTGTAGAAAATGAGGAACAACTCTGGCAACGCATTCAAGTTGCAATAAACAATTTTAGAGGTGATGAAGAAGTTATGGAAAGGATACATTTTAATTTTCTTCGACATATAAATCTTTGTATGCGTGAAAATGGTGAACATTTTGAACAATTTTTGTAAAATCTCTATTTTGATTATGTTGTAAATAAATATTTTTGTGAAACCTATACACTCTAAATTATTAAAACAGAAATTTAGCGAAAACCATGAGGGTAATCGAGTCTTATCAATTGTACCTTTTTTAAAGTAAATGAGTTGCGCAATCTAAATTTCATACTCAAACTCCTTTTCTTTTATTGGCGTAGAATTTTTAAAGGTGCAATTATTTAAAAAATCAAGTTCTACGCCTATGTATTATTATCGGACAAAATTTTAATACCATTTTTTTTGCCACATAAAACTCTACGAATATACCAAATTTCAGCAAAATCGCATATGCCGTTTTAAATATATATGGGAAAAACGATTTAAAAATTTAAATTCAAGGCCCTTTGGAGCCCAAACGAAGCAACTTTGTACAAAGGTAATTTTACTTAAATCGATTTATTTTGGTCTAAGGAATATGTGGTATGTTTTTGTAAAGACCTTTTACAGACACCCCTGTATATTATAGAAAAATGTTTCGAGTTAGACGTACGTGGAAAATGTATATATTTAGTTTATCCTCTAAACATTTATAGAGGTCCTGCAATAGGTTAAACAAAATAACCAGAAAAAGCCTATAATAACTAGATAGGAAAGTCATTTATTGAACACATCAGATTTTTAAAAAGTATGGAAATGTTTATTTTTCATTAATTTTAGTTGGACACTTGGCAACGCCGCACTAATTTGTATTGACAGAGCAAGACAGATATAAAATTCTAATGAATAAGTTTACACAAATGATCACTTAATGATCCTCATAAGCCTTTAATATGTCAAATTAAAAAAAAAACGTTAATTTTTGCGATTTCCTGTAGTATATTTGAAAAATACTCTCCTTCATAGGAATAAAATGTAAGTTTTGTAAAAAATATGTATTTTTAAGAAAAGG